TCTCCTCCTGAAAGCGACGCAAATGACTCTAGTCCTTGACTGGTATCACTTGACGGCAGTGGATACTAGGGCACTGTATATCCCATGCCGAGCATGCCTCGGATCTCCAGCCTCCTGGAACATGCTCCTTAGACGGCTATCATCTCGCCAAACACGGCAGAAAGAACCTCAACCGCTAGCAATAGCCAGACATATGACCCACCAAGGAGGCTGGTGTCTCTACGCCCACTTGCCGGCACCAACACACACTAAGCGTGGGAGCTTCACACTTATCGATTCAAGGGGACCTGCCCTAGAATCACTGGAGATTGTTCCATAGGCCTGTGGAGAATCACTGCCGTCACAGGCTTCACTCGGTATTTGAACCAATAATCAGATCTGCTGGCGTCGGCGTCCAAGAGCTCGACTGGTTTGCTCGGAAGCGTAGGCACTGCTCTCTGTTGGTTTGGTTCTCACTGACGAAATCTCGGGCTCCACGAACTCAGCGGCACGGTGACGCCAAAGTTCAATAACCGATATATGCCAGTCGGTGCCAAAGGAGCCGCGTCGATGGTCTTGTCTCGATGAGCATCTTCACCGACTATTGCCTGCGACAAGGGGCCATCGTTGGCTATTATGCGTCACAGCGACCGCCTCCTCGCGGCTGCTGAAGGTGCCACGCCAGTCTCTTCTGCCATGTGCGGAAGCAATCTCCATGTGCAACGTTGACACAAATTGTTATCTCGCAATCTTTCTGTGGAGAAGATATCGGCGTTCCCAATACAATCAAGTCTATTTGGCAGGGCTGGACATGGACATCACCTCGTGGTCCTATCAGCATTTCTGCTGTCGTGGCACCTCTTCGTTTATGAAAGCTCACCAGAGGCACAGAAGTGAGAGGCTTCGTGACTGCGACCCCGACACTACCTTACAGGGGAAGATGCCATTACACTTTGGCACCGTTGGCATCTACGTCCTGGCTTGCCGCTCAAGAACAACTCATTCCCATAAGGAGACAGCAAGCAAAACCGCTACGGCGCGCTTATTCCACAAACGTCGTCCGTCCTGGAATATACTGACACCGTGAGAGGAAATTGCTTGTCTCTCCCATGTCAGGCGGGAGGCTGCCTACATGGCATGTCGACGCGATGTGACTGCATGGAGAGGAGAGAGATGCCATGTGATAGTCGGGCCCTCAGGGACGCAGCACCAGCAGTTTCGCTAGCAAGATTAGGCTATGGTGTACTGTTGTGCGTGACTGACTCGACCACCCACGGCGATACCCGTTGCCTTCTTACGGCTCAGTGGGAGCACACAGACACATCAACCTTATGAATGGGTCAGTGTTACTGCCATGCTTCCAAGGGCGGAGGCCATGAGGCTTTGATTTGTTGCCAGGTATTCAGCGAGCTCGTATCGACATTGAACATGCATTCGCGATCGTGGTCGATTGGCCAAGGTAGAGCAACATGTCCGAGACCTTCATGTGTGTCTCAAATGTTTACTTTCTTCTTCCAGGCTCTCCCGGAAGGGCCCCTATCTGCTGCAGATTCGACGCCGCAGCCCTCAATTGTCATTGCACACTTCGCAATGTACCAGCTTTGATGTTTACTTTGTCAACACACTGGACGCGGAAGTGTGCATCCTGGGTAAGGGGAAATTTGGGCTTCGTCCACAAGCACGCCAACCAGACAGATGGGCCAAGCTAGCGAGCAAGTGCTGCTCCACACAGTTCCAGGCCAGTCTTTTTGAGACAGCCTGTATATAATTTCCTCATTGATTGACAACTATCTCCCAAAGCACCTAGTCGACCTCATTCCTAAGCTCCCAAGCTATGCTGAATAATGAGACGAAACAGGCGAAGCTAGTGCTCATCCGTCGCTTTCGGATGTCAGAGACTATGCTTGAATTTTTCTGTCTGATACCTAACCGCGTTTCGCGATGCAAGCACATCGGCCTCCTCCGTCGGCCGGCCCCGGCGTATCACCAGCCAGTGTACCAACAGGTTGAGTCGCCAGAAGCACCACCAACTTCATTTGAAGCGCACTTTGCATCCGGCCGCCAGAGTTCCAAAACGCGAGAAGACAGATGGGCGGCGCAGGAGGATGCCAACCTGAACATTGGTACACGAGCCTTGACCGAGCTGGCATTGGCAGCTTGTTACGGATCTTCTCAAAACCGCAGCTGCATCACTCACTACTCCGTATAGTATCTGCTTCGGGCTACCTATTCTTACGTGCGTACGAATTTGTGCTGGTCATCTGCGGAGAGGCGAGCTACAACTCAGATTTGGCCAACAAAACACGGTAGCGTGGACAAGAACCGGCCAATGGGCTTGGTTGGGTTTAGACCAAGGGCCGGGTCTCGAGGCTCGCGTCTATCCTAGCCTGATGGGATCCTGCTCCTGGCCTACGATAGCCATCTCTCACTGGCATTTTGCCCAACTACGGACAGACAGGGGAATTCATCCTGCTCCAAAACAGTTAGTTCGCTGTCGAGCATGGCAGCTGAAGGTCGTACGACTCCCCAGCTGACGACTCAGTAAGTCAGCAACAGACTACTGCAGCCTTTTTTACCGAACGCTAGAAAGATATGCAGGGCCCAGCCACACTTGTTCATCCCTCACTTCACGACCTGCCCCTAACCTCTCGCCAGCGTCACTGGCTGATCCCTGCTTGGCAGGGGACATATGGCATTCTCGGCGACTGCCGCCGGATGGAGGCGAGAAAGGAGCGAGAATTGGTGTCGGCCACGAATGGGAAAGTCGATTTGGCCAAGTGGGAAGTGCATAAGTCCCAGAGCTATCAAGAGCTACAGAACGCCCCTCCCCAAGAAAGAGGCGTCTCGCAATTTCGGCCCATGCCGGCCGTCGGATATCGGGCTACCCTCCGGCCTTTTTGGCCCATAAGACCGTGCAGTCGTCGTCAAGGCTCCCAGAAGGATCATCAAGCTCGCGGGTCCTGCCTCTTCTGCGGGCCAGGTGGTCTCTAGTTCTAGACCCCGGGCTCGACACGTGGATGACCTCTCCCGGGCCCTCCATGACCCTCTCCCTTGCATTGGAATGCATTGGCCGCGTACTGTCTACGGAGCAGGGCCAGTCGGTAGCTGCTCCCTACCTACCTACCTACCTACCTACCTACCTACCTACCTACCTAGACGAAGAGGGGAAAAAGGTTTTCCAGTAGAAGCTATGGAGACGGCTGGAAGCATGCCGTACGCACCTGCCCGGAGCATCAGACTATCCGCACTCCGCACCGCACCTGAAGCAGCCCAACGCTTAGGAAATAAGCTGTAGGGCTGGAATCAGGGCTTGTTTTTAGTCCCCCCCCTCCCCCTTGCTGAACGACTCGACGATGATAAAGGCACGCCTCTGAGGCTAAATTGTTGCCGGGGAGAAATTCGGGGCACGGGAATAAGGGAAAAAAATGCTGGAGGGCATTCACAATGGAGTGAACACCGAGACGGGCTGGCATGGGAGAGTGAGGGGGCCGTGGAAACGGTCAGAGTTCGGTTCGGTCCCGAGATGCTCTGCATGAACGGCGAGAGGCCGCTATTGTGTTCTGCTTTCCATCAAGGTGCGTGCGTGCCTAGATAGCACCGATGTCGCTCTTGATCTGCCGCCGGGGTGACTCTCGAGTTCTGCCTCTTCGAGGACTGCATGTGCTGAAGTGCGCGTTGCCATGGCATCCCTTTCGTGTCTGGAGGGACACTGGCTAGGGGGCAAGCCCAACCTTCCAGGGCGGAGAGCCAGTCTAGACCGGAGTATGAGCTGCCTTTCAAGATACCACAGAACCTCGGGCGGAAGGCTTTAGGAGCAAAGCACCTACTAAGGAAATGAAAATTGGCCCAGATTGGCAGACCAGCGCGTGAGAGCGGTCAAATGCTTGATGGCTCGGCTGCTGCCCGTGACGTCAACGAGGACTGTTCGTGGCCTGGCGAGAAGGAAATGTCGTGTGCACCAGAGGCCCTTGGGAGTGATAGTGCAGCAGCAGTTTTGCAACCCTGCGTTCTGTCCCTTGACCAACCTGAGGTCATGCCTAGACAGGGGTGCTCCCTCATTCACCGGCGATCATCCAGAACCAGAGTCACGGTCGACTCAAGCAGATTGGCCCCCCCCCCCAGAACCGATATATGACTCTCCTCCCTGGATGATCACATCCTTTTAGCAAAGATGCAGGGAACTTATAAGGGACGTGGACGTCGAAGTGTGGAAAAGTACTCCCGGGGGAGGAGGCTTTGACTCGCGAGAGGGATCGGGAATTGTAAACACCTCCTTTCCGAGCGCGAAGTTTCCATTCCGGCTAACAATTGATCAGCGAGGGAGCAGAAGAGGAAGTGAATTGAACAAGCAAAACCTGCTGACTTGATGTGTTGCCTTGCCATGTCCCGTGTAAAGTCTCTGAGTAGGCTGCTGAAGGACAAGTCAGTGGAGTGGCTGAACCGACTTCCACTCTGGCTACTGGACAATATGCCAATGCAATACCAATGTTGATCTCGGATGGCAGATGGTTTTGATAATGCTTGGAAGAACCCAAGGTAAGATACAGAATCAACAAGATAAGTGCAACTCGTTCGTTGATGGCTGGTGTGTGTGTGTGTGTGCGTGCGTGTGTATGTTTTGTCGGCTCACAGCGATGATCCGTCGAATTTCTGATCAATAGAGCCACACTCTTAGCTTTCAATCTTTTTTTTGTTCCTATCTTGATTTTTGCTACCCAACTTGAAATTTCTGATAGATATACCTTGGGGAGTGAAATAATTCCGCGCAAACAAGACCAGGATCCCCTGAGATTGACCCTGTCCTCTGATGATCTCTTGTCCTGGATGGGACTCGACGTGTCCAGTCATTCATTCCATCCACGCAAAAAAAAAGACGTGACCTCTCCCTCCGCCTGGCTTTTCATACTCGTATAAAACTGTGTGAACATTCAAGGTACCAAAAAAGAAGACGGTAATATCACTCGCTATACCTCCGGTCCCCCACCCCATGCTACATCATTCATCCCAAGCTTGCAAAGACTTTACAGCTTCGACGCAGCACGGGGGCTGCCAGGGCTGGTGATCTCGTTGTACAGCAGCCTAAAGACCCAAAACCAGTCAGTCAAAACACGGTTCGCATTCACACAACAAGATGTTTGAACAGAGAGAACTCACGTGGTCAAAAAGTCGGCGTAGTCCTCGCCCGTGACCTGGCCGGCAAAGTACTGGGCGGCGAGGTGGAACTTGTTGCCCTGGGGCGCCTTGGCCGACAGCTCGGCGGTCTGCTCCTTGAGCAGCTTGAGGGCGTAGGCCTTGTCGACCTTCTTGCCCTCGGCGGTGGTGACGCCGTGGCGCACCCACTGCCACAGCTGGGAGCGCGAGACCTCGGCCGTGGCGGCGTCCTCCATGAGGTAGTTGATGGGCACGCAGCCGACGCCGCGGATCCAGGCCTCCATGTAGCCGAGGCCGATGTTGAGGTTCTTGCGGATGCCGGCCTCGGTGATGGCGCCGGGCACGTTCATGTTGAGCAGGTCGTTCTGGCCAATGGCAACATCCTCGCGGCGGTTGAAGAGCTGGTTGGGCGTGGGCATGTGCTTGTTGAAGATGTCGGAGGCGATGGCGGCCAGGGCCGGGTGGGCGACCCAGGTGCCGTCGTGGCCGGCGCGCACCTCGCGCAGCTTGTCGGCGCGCACGCCCTCCATGGCCTTGTCGTTGGCGGCCTTGTCGTCCTTGATGGGGATCTGGGCGGCCATGCCGCCCATGGCGTGGACGCCCCGCTTGTGGCAGGTCTGGATGAGCAGCTTGACGTAGGCGTCCATGAAGGGCACCGTCATGGTGACGCAGGAGCGGTCGGGCAGGACAAAGTTGGAGTTCTGGCGGAACTTCTTGATGGTGGAGAAGATGTAGTCCCAGCGGCCGCAGTTGAGCCCGGAGGAGTGGTCGCGCAGCTCGTAGATGATCTCGTCCATCTCGAAGGCGGCGAGGATGGTCTCGATGAGGACGGTGCCGCGGATGGTGCCGCGGGGCATGCCGATGTAGTCCTGGGCCAGGTTGAACACGTCGTTCCACAGGCGGGCCTCGAGGTGGGACTCCATCTTGGGCAGGTAGAAGTAAGGGCCGTAGCCGAGCTTGACGAGCTCGCGGGCGTTGTGGAAGAAGTAGAGGCCAAAGTCGAAGAGGGAGCCCGAGATGGGCTCGCCGTCGACGGTGACGTGCTTCTCGTCGAGGTGCCAGCCGCGGGGGCGGACGATGAGGGTGGGCAGCTTGCGGTCCGTCCGCAGCTTGTACTCCTTGGGCCCTTGCTTGAAGTCGACCTGGCGGCGGTTGGCGTCGTAGAGGTTGACCTGGCCGTTGATCATGTTGTCCCAGGTGGGTGCGCTGGAGTCTGCGGGTCGTTCGTTAGCTAGGGATGCTCTGTCTCCGTGTGTGTGCAAGTGTGCTCGTTGCACTCCTCCTCTCTCAACTCACCCTCAAAGTCGGCCATGTACGTCCACACGTCCGAGTTGAGCGCGTTGACGACCATCTTCCGGTCGGTCGGGCCGGTGATCTCGACGCGGCGGTCGACCAGGCCGGGGGCGGGCGGCGCGCCCTTCCACGTGGGGTTCTCGCGGATGTGCTTGGTCTCGGGCAGGAAGTCGGGCAGGGCGCCCTTGTCCAGCTCGGCCTGGCGGAGCTTCCTCCGCTCGAGCAGGGTCTTGCGTGTGGCATTGAAGGAGCGGTGGAGGAGGGCGATGAAGGCGAGGGCCTGGGGCGTCAGGATCTTCTTGTGCTCCTCCTTGACGGAGCCCAGGACGGTGACGCCCTGGAGGATGTTGTCCACGGAAGCCATGGTGTGTAATGTGTGTATGTGTATATTCGTCTGCGAATTGGTATCGCTTGTTCTTGTTATCTGTATCTCTCGTCGTTTGCGGATCTCGCGATGACGACAGTCGAGACAACAGTAAAGGTCACAGCAGCCTTTTGGTATCGATAGCTAGCAAGCTGATCGTCTTTTTCCCAGGCAGATTGATTGTCAGGACAGCAGCAATAGCAACAGGCCTCGGCAGTGGTCAGATGTGTTAGTGGGAGCCAATTGGTCTCAGTGCAAGGGAGCCGGGAGGAATGGAGGGGTTATGATTTAAGGTTTCGGTTTCGGGATCACAAGCAAAAAAAAATGGGAGGATATGCCACTATCAAATCACGAGGAGGAGGGACCGAGTTTCTCTATATATGTTATCACCAAAAAGCAGAGTCAGATGCCCATGGGGAATCAACTCCGTTCAGCAGAATAAATGTGGAGCCAGATGGCGACTTGCTGTGTATAAGACGAGACCCGGCGGCGGCGTCACGGCCGTGGTTCGGCTACAGTCCCTCTGGCCGCGGCGGGCGGTGCGCTTGTTCCAGTGTAGTGTTAGTCACCACCGCATCTGGGTCTTCCATTCCCTGGCTTACTGGGTATGGGTAGGATGGGACGAGCCAGATGACGAAAAAGATGAGGAGCAGCCCTTGTTCTTCTTGTCTGTCCCCCGGATACAAGTTGCATGATCAGATCAGCGAGGGCATCGCCTCTCATCGAGACTCGGCATTCGAAATAGGCTAGGCATTTTGCAACGTAGTGATGCTCTCTCCCTGGCCCAAGAACCTGTCATGTCGTCAAGCTGCACACCCATTCGATCCCATCAGACATTCAGTACCCCCGACCAAGGGAGCAGCCCCCCAGCTTCCTCGACGGCCAGCAACGTCACCCTCTCTGGCAGGGAGTACCTAGCCTGCGAGCTGTGCTCAGATGCCTTGCCTCCTCGACAGTCTTTCTACCCAGTCAGTAATGCCAGCTAGAAAGATGCCGAGCTCGTGCCACAGTCAAGCTCGGCCCAGCGTGACGATCGGTAGACGAAAGATGATGTACCTTGGCAGAGACTCAGTCACCCAGCGAGCCAGCTAAGCCACTAAGAGCGAGTCTCAAGCACACCCTCGGACAAGAGGACCAGACCAGGCATTGAGACACCAGGAATGGGAAGCTCAGCGAGGTGTGGCCAACCACAGGCCAGCTCTGCTGCTCCAACAGCCGGGGCGACGGAGGAAAACGCAGGCAATCGATTGCTTGTGAAAGTGTGGGGAAGGCAACGCCATTCGCCAGTGGCTGGTCAGAGCTTTTTTGCATGTGCTTAGTTACAAGTAACCGCATCGCAAAAGTGAGGTCATCAGAGACTCGGCCCAGGGCCGGCTTCCCCACTCTCGCATCAGTCCCGAAGGTACTCTGTCTTTCCATTGTTGAAGGACTGGTCTTTTTCTTTCTACCAGGGCCCGAATTGACACCCATTCTGGACACCACTTCAGAATCGCAGATGTGTTCGTCCGAGTACATTCAAAGGTATCAACTTGCTTTCAAACTCCGGCATCGCATCGGCAAACAGCCGATCTTATCACGGCAGAGAGGGTCCTGTGGTTTGAAAGATACACTGGAGACAGGGTCCCGCCCGCCTCTGCGCTGCGGTACCGGCACTGGAGGAGTCATGTACCGCACAGTCGAGGTACTCTCACACAGGGTGCCCACCCTCCGATCTCCCGGCCGCTAAGCCGAGGCCCAACTCCATGATTCTTTGTCCCCTGTCCCTGAATCGCCGCCCACCAGTGACTACACCAGATTCGTCTTTGCCGAAGACTCCCGAACGACACATCAAACACGAAAAAAAGAGATACCTATCTGGCCGTGTCGTATTTACCACGGAACTACGACACCTTGCTGGGGCAACTTGCGCAAGCATGCTTCGATTGACTCATTCCGAAGCACCTACTCCGTATCTTTCCCCAGGTAACGTGACCCGGGCCTCTTGCCGTGGCTTTGACGTGTCCAAGACTCGTCCACCTGTGACCTTACTGTGTGGCTGAATGTCCCCCGGAAATGGTTCCCGTGTCTTGCTTGCCGTATCGAGCCGCATTCTGAGGCTCTGTGTTTCTGTCCCTGGCCTCCGGCTTCGGGAACAGGGGCGAGACGTCACCCTCCCACAGCCAGCTAGTTGTCAAGCAATGGATCTAGGTTTAGAGGGCGAAACTGGCCCAGGTAGCTTCGAGTCTGATCAAGGCATTCCTTTTCCACATACGGACCCCAAGAGGGAGAAGGAACTGGATTGTATTGTGAAGACTGAAATCAGCGTTTGGCGACTTCGAGCACAGACCATCCATGTGGCGCAGATCGTTAGCTTGTACAAGTAGATGGCACATGCTGGTGATGTCGGCTTGTGTTTGGACAGATGCTGCCCAACAATGCCACAACGAAATTACAAGAAAAGAAAAGGAAAAAAAGCAGAGTACAGCAGGGACACACATTCTGTGGGCGCAGAGCACTCAAGAATGACAGAACATGTCTGCACGAGTCCCTGTTACTTGGAGGGGCTGTCCTTTGCCTGACGGCCACAAAAGCGGCCAGTGAGATGCACAATTGGGCTGCCATACATATGCATCATGCATCGAAAGGTTATGTGCACTGAACCTACTGTTGGCCTTGAGGTCGCCATATCGAGAGGCCTTATAAGAGCGTGCGGCCCTGAGGACCAACACCGCAACCTCCCTCCAACTCCCAATCACCTCACGTATCCTTCGCTTTTGCGTCTTTCAGGTCGGTGAAACCCTGCCCCAAACCAAGCAGAACAAACAAGCATACTCTATCGCTGGAGGCTAATGCGCTTCCTCCAGTCTTCAATCATGGACGACCAGGCTCGAGCGAAGGCCATGGCAGATATGGATGTGATGATCAAAGAGGCGAACGAGAAGGAAAATGCGATTTCTCAGTTGACTCGTGATATTGAATCGTTAAAGGTCGTGTCCCAACAAGGTTCGAGCTCGCGGACGAAAAGAGGAATGTCAGCGGCGTCAGATATCAATTCCCAAATCGTGGCGCTGGAAAAAGAGGCAGTCCAACAAAGAGAGGTCTTAAGATTATTATGGCTGAAGATCAACCAGATTCAGGCAGAACATGGAAACATTTAAGAAGGCAAAAGTCCTACCAAATACTCATGGGAGCAGTAGATACATATCAGAAACACGCTTTCGTTGCCATTATGGGTGAGCGGCAGTCCCGTTTTTCAACCGGTCAATCGTAGCCCAAGCCTCCTGCAGCAAGCGCTGTATCTCTTCCTCACGCCCTTCTACGTTGAGGTTGTTCTCGTCGAGATACTGGGCAAAGTGTCGCGAAACTTCTAAGCGCCGATCCACGTCTTCTTGTAGCCGTACATCGTCAGGGATAGGAATGTCGCATAGTCCAGTTATGTTTGGCATGACTTTTTGCCAGAAAACAAAGTCAAGCTCCGCCGGGTCTATAAGTATGTGGGATAGTGACCAAGTAAGGGAGTCTCTAGAGACCCAATCGGTCGCGAGTTCAGAGTGATATCTCGACTTCTCTTTCATAGAAGAAAGAACACATACGAACTCAGACGATAGGTCAGCCAGACCTGAGTCGTTGCCTGTGATCCATGTAGGCGGGGCAAAAGCCCACTGTGGGACGCTTGCAGTGTACTCCCAATCGATGATACCGCATACATTAAGCTCGTCATCCACGAGGATGTTGCCAAGGCGAAGGTCGGGATGTGCCAGGAAGAACGACTGCGTGGCTGGATTGATGCGGATTCTGTGCTGCACCTCTGGCTGACAGAAGAACCTCTTCGCAAACTCCTCTCGCTCAGCCTGCTCACGATCTAAATCTTTCTGAGGCATTGTCCACATGTGTTGCAGGATGCGAAGTTGCTCGTCGAGAAATTCTTTCGCGCTCCTAGTCACAATGCGCGAGACTGTGTATCCAGCCGCCTGGAATTCGTTCTTGCGGATGGAGAAGGCACCGACAATGTCTGGTGGATTCTCAAGTTCGATATCCTCGTCGTTGCTCGGCATTAGCGAGCCTCCTTGTGTGAAGGGGAGTTTTCGAAGTTCCGCAAAAATGTCAACTAGTTGCTCAAGAAAATGACGACGAGATTTTTTGCTGTGCTCGAGTACCTCTCTGGTTAATGGTTGGCCTTTGATTTGTTCCATGATCATGAAGACTTGAGGCTCTGAGGCATGTCGGCAAAGTTGGCTTCTCCCGTAGGCATATACTCGGGGAACAGGAATACTCGTGTTACGTCGGATGAATCTACGAAGAGCCGGTTAGAGCAGACAGAGGCAGTCCGTTGCGACTGAAAAATTACTGACCCCATCGTACAAACTTCGCTTCGTACTTTGTCCCAAGCATCCTGTACCGCTGGCTCTAAAGGAAGCCGTACAATGCGCGTAGAACTGTCGGTAAACTCGAGGAGGAAGCAGCAATTGAAACTACCCCGGTACCGAGCCTTGATTACACATTGCAGACTCTTGGTGTGGTGCCGAGTCCCGAGGGCCCGGATGGCCTCCTCGTCGATTGAGCGGAAGAAGGTGTCGCTGCGACGATAGACCTGTTGCTCCGTCAAAGGCCATGCATTCTGGAGTGTGATTGCCGTTGCCGAGTGTCTAAAGCCGGGGATGAGGGCCAGTAAGACTTGAAAGATGCGGTGAAAAAACCTGGTCAATGATTTCCAGATCGTTGAGACAGTTAAAATACTGCGTTGAGCAAAGATGAGCATCGCATTACGTAGAAAGAACGGTGGTTTGTCGTTCAGCACACGAGGAAGCGATCATGGAGATGGAGAGGTCGAAGGGTCAAGGGCGAAACGTGGGGACAATTGAGCACTAGACTGAGCTTGAGTACTCCAGGCTGTGGATACCGAATTACGGGCCGATGTATAGTGTATTGGAAGGGGCCGATGGACATAAAGAGGGCCAAAATATTAGCTTGAGTGTTGACAATACAGGGGCAAAATTGGTGGTTGTATTGATGCTTGTGTAGTTGCATGGGTCTAGCCCGAAAATGAGGTGAGAAGTGTGCTTCTATCCTCCAAGTGATACAGTGGCTCCTGCCCCAATTACAGTGCCTTCTCCACTAAGGTACACAACAATCAAGCATCACTACCATTCTCTCTCTCTCTTCACAATCCCTCGAGCCGGGAAACAGCCCTCTACTACGATGGCTTGGCCTCGTACGCCTTTCTGGTACTCAGTCTTAAAATCAATTTTGACTCTCAGTCTCGATTACAGTCTCTCTCTTCAGTATACGAATAGCATCTTACAGTGTGGTCCGTGTGGAACACACCCACGGTTAGGCTTTTATGAACAGTATCTGCCTTCACTAGTGGACACTGACCTCGGTCTTCACAATACACTCATGATGATTAATTTCGTATGGAAGAAGTAACTCGAGTACCCTTGTCCTTATGTGTGCAAGACAAACTCACAGGCCGGATGTATACCCGCTTGTGTTGTGTGCCCGTGTGTCGTGATCGACCACTACCTCCTCCCTTCTCTGATTCCGAACACACAAAACAACGGACGATTATTCATACAGATATAAGGATCCTATCCGACCTGTAGTCCAACAGCAGTCGTGCAGAGTATGTACCAACCAAGAGAACATCTCCTGGTATGACCACTCCCCCTCCCCTTCCTCCCCGTTCCAGAGGGTGCCCTACCAGGACTTCCTCGCTCAAACGATGCGATTCGTCGCAGACATCCATCCCCCTTCCCCTCTTCGCGGCATACCATTAGGTTGGAGCAAATGAGGAATCGCATCGCAAACCTGGCAACGGCAAACTGTGAAATCAAAATGCAGTCCACAAAACGCCCGAGTCCAGCGCCTCTACCAGAAGCCCCTTTTTACAACAAAGGAAAAAAAGAAGTGAAGTGTATGTTGCCCATGTATGCACCAGTGAGGCATGAGATATGGCAAGCCGATGGCGAGACAATCAAGAGTTGAGCGTCTTGATCATCATCTTGGCCTTGCGCTTGTCCGCAACAATCAGGTTGCGGTTGCTGAAGACGAGGTTCATCGTCTCCACCACCTTATGGAAGCTGCTGGCCGCGCCCTTCTCCTGAGTGAACCGGACAATGCTGAGATGGTTGCGCTTGCCGTGCTCGATCACCGTGATGATCTCGCAAGCAAACGAAACCTCTTTCAAGTTGAGATCTATTTCCGGGCTGTTAGTGGCCATCCCTGATCACAACCAGGAATGAAGGGATACTCACAATTCTTGGCGCCAACTCGTGCAAACACAATGTTGCGCTCCTTATCCACCTGGACATCCTTGATGCCGTACTTCTTCCACTCCCGCAAGAGGATAGCCACCTCCTGCCGAGCGCGGCGCTTCGAGATCGTGAGGCAGAGGTAGCGCATCTCGGGCTTGACGCGGAACAGCCGCGCGATCCAATTCTGCTTCGCCTCGATCTTGCGGCCCGACGACTCTTCGTCGTACCAGCTCTTCTGCGAGAACCGGCTGCGCCGCTTCGTGATGACCGGGCGCTCGGGCACCTGAGGCGGCTCGTCCTCCAGGCCGCCGAGCGACATCCTCTGCTCGCTCTTGGAGGCCTTCCAGAACGGGAACACGAATCCCTTCTTCTTGGCAGCGGCCTGAGGGATGGGCAGCGTGCTGGAGGACTGCGAGTCGCTGCGCTGCACCTTGCTCGACGCCGACTCGGCGGTCGACTGGCGTTTCTTCTCGCTGCCGGCCTCGTCCTTGACGACCTCCGTCCTGGACGACTTGCGGAACCAGGAGCTGATGCCCCGCTTCTTTGGCGCAGACACGGACGTTGTGCTCTGCGGAGGGGTCGGGGGTGCTTCGGGTTGAGAAGCCACACGATCAGTTCCTTGCGCTTTCTGCTGTCCCCAAGAGGCATACTGCTGTCGAAGGTCCACACTTGCCGGCGCAGTGGTGGTGGTATTCTGTGGCGCAGGATCCTGGGACTTGCGCGTGAGTTTCTTCTGCACGTTGAGAGGAGCGGGTGCGGCGACGGGATCCGCGTGTCGCACGGCAGAAGGCGAGTTGACAACGCGGATAGTGTTCTCTGCTCTCGCGAGGAAGTGCAGCCCCTTGCTGGGGTCTTGCGGTGTCGGCAGGCCGGCCTGTGTTTTAGGAGGGGCGGAGACGATGCGCGGCTTAGCAGCATCATGTCTATGCCAGTTCTCCTGGCCATTGACTTGCACAGCAGGCAGCGGGCGAGGGTCTTGGCTGCGCGCAGCATATGCCGGGGCAGACACGATGCGGCGGTCGGGCTGCGGGGTCTCGGGTACTGCGAGGCTGGCAATGTATTTGTTGTGTTTTCCCACCTCCGCCGCGAGCTGCGAGTTGGCGATGGAAGTCCTCTGGGACCGTGCAGCTTCCGCCTCCAGTATCTCTAGACGCGTCGAGATTGTCGTCGGCGGAGTGGGCGGAAGGGGTCTCGAGTCCCATGGTCGCGGATTGGCTTGTTGAGATGTAGGTGTTTTGACCTCCTTTTCGACCGGGCTACCGGGCAGCTCGAAGTCGAGAGAGAACGGCGTCCCTTCCCGGCTCGCACCAGTCCCGTCCAGAGTCGTCAAGGTAAGGAGCGAATCGGCGAAGGCATCATCCCACGCCTTGGCAATGCTGTTGCTGAAATGCCTGATCTCATCGCTGAGGAGCGCCACCTTGGCACTGACCTCGACACCCTGCTCAGAGATGGCGTCCATGGCGAGCTCCTCTTGCTCTTGCTCTTCATCTTCATCTGCAGGGGCAGGAGTAACCTCGATCGTGCATCGCTCTATCGGCGACGTCTCCCGGAACGATGGGCTGTCCACTGCCATTTCTGAGTCGTCTGCCGCGGCTGGCTCGGCCACCTCGACTTGCACACCGTCATTTTGCGGTTTGACGTCCACAGACCGCTTGCGTACGTGCGAAAAGTCCACGCCTCGCTTATAGCGCGAGTTGGCTCGAACTCGCGGCGTACCTTGCCTGCTGCTCCGGAGAGAGCTTACCGAGTTACCGGGTGACTGGAAGCGGCCAGTGGTCCCGGTCTTCTGAGAATGCATGCGCTTTCGAGCAGCCGTGCTAGCGGCTCCGGCTCGAGAGGCTGGAGACGACATGGCGGCTGCTACATCCTTGGTAGATCCCTGGTTGTTGCGGTGGATTACAATCTTGGCCTGGCTCGCCTCCGGTCGCATTACGATGGATGACTTGTAAGGATCGTAACTGCGAACAGTGCCGCCCTCGGTGCCGGCTTCTGTCTCGGCCACATTCGAGATGACTGTGAAACGAGAAACGCTCCTGGCGTGTCCCTTACCGGTTCGCTTCGAGAACTGACGCGTAGACACCCTCTTGGCCCATGGGCCGGGCCGGAGATGGTGATAGTCACTGGTCGAGTACGTGAGGCTGGGATTGTAATTCTCAAGCTGCCTCTCGCGGTAGCTGTGAAGAAGCCAGTAGAAGAGCTTTTGATCATTCGACCTAGGCCAAGTTAGACACTGTTGCCTGCTTAAAGGGAGCACAGTGAGGCATCATACCGGTTATTCACTAGTTTCTCAACCAGCTCATGCTCAGTGAAGGTGTGCCACATGGCTTGCAACTGCCGCAGGATCTGGGGATCAATGTCTGCATGGTTGAGAGGCTCAACATTTTTGCCTCCACGAGAGTCCAGGAGCTCTGTATGGGCGGGTCCAAGATCGTCGAGATAACCGTATTTCCAGACTAGAGGATGCTGCCACATCTCGCGCATTGAGATGCGCACATTGGGGTCGACTTGGAGGATACGATGAACCAAGTCCTTTGCGTCCTTACTGAAGAAACTCGGCATTTGGTAGATTCCCTTCCTAGCCTTGGCGAGCATCTTGTCCATGTCAGGTTCGTCGAAAGGAAGTCGGGCAGCGAGCATGGCGAACAGGATGACTCCCATGCTCCAGATATCTGCCTTGGCTCCTTGGTAGACCCTTGCCTTCAGCAGTTCAGGCGCGGCGTAGTGGGGGCTGCCGCAAGAGGTTCGAAGTTGGTGATGGGGACCCTGCTGAAGGGCTGCCATGCCGAAATCTGCGATCTTGACCTGCCCGTCGGCTTTGAGGAGGATGTTCTCGGGCTTGAGATCGCGGTGGCAGATGTTGTGCCGGTGACAGTAGTCCATGGCGCTCATCAGCTGACGGAAGACATACATGGCCTGCTCTTCAGTCATCTGGCCATGTCGATTGATGTACTCGAACAAGTCGCCCTTCTCCACAAACTCTAGAATGAGGTAAATCTCGTCACGGTTCTCCCAAATGTCATATATCTTCACGATGTTCGGGTGCTCGATCAGCTTCAGGATGCCCACCTCACGTTCAATGGCCAATGGCATCCTCCTAAGTCCATTGCCATTGTCGATCTGCTGGCTGTCGATCTGGTCAAGGCGGGTCAGACTACCAGCTTGTGTCATATGAGCGGTGCGCTTGGCTACGATCTTGACAGCAACTGGTTGATGCGTGACGCAGTGGCGTGCAGCCCTGACTCTGGCCGATGAGCCCTTGCCCAATGTCTTGCCAAGTTGCCAAGGGCCGATGTGTGTCTTCTTGTTGGGGAAGCCATTGCAGGCTGAGTACCGAGAGTTGGACGATGCTTGAGACGTCCGCCTCGACTCGATCACGTCTTGCGAGACTTTGGAAACAGGGGAGAGATGCTCGCTCACTCGCGGTATATCATTCTCCCGGAGCGAGTCGGCACGGCTGACAGGCGGCGGGCTAGCATAGGAGGCGACAACTGGAGAAGGCTTTCCAGATGCCATGTCGAGATCGGGGCGAGGAGATTTGCGCAGGTCGACATGCTGAGGGCCTCCAGCATTATTGAGTCGCATTGTGGCATCGTTGAGTGGTGGGCGGCTCGCGACCCTGGCGCCGCCAGCTCGCGAATCCATGCTGAGCGGCGAGTAAGCCTTCTGGATGGACTATCAAAGAAGCATATCCCGAAGAAGAAGAAGAGGCTATTGGCAAGGTGACGGAGTGTGATGCGTGGTACAGAAGCAGGTCCGCAGCGCAATGCGAGGTCGAAGAACTAAGGCCAATGACGAAGATGCAAAGTAAGAAGAATTGTAACGGTTAAACGAATGTAAGGGCCGAGGTCAAGATCTCGGATGCAATCGCGAGCAGTTGCTCTGCAGGAGATACAGCTGCTAGAAGGTGATGATGAGGTCGAAGAGAGGCGAGAGAAGAGAAACGATCAGACGTGGCCGACAGAAAGGGCACACAGCCAACTGAAAGTCAAGGGAGGGCGGCCGTCTGGGCCAATTGGGGCTGGGAGGGCCAGGAACGTAATTAAGCGGAGGGCAAAAGTGAGGAATGTTGTTTTGGGACTGGTATGTTGCGAGCTTTTGGGAGGATGGGTGTGTGTCTGGGTGTGAGCCGGTGGTGTGTTTGCGGGGAGGGGTTGCCAGGTATTCGTGGTATTCGTGATGCGCGTGGAGGAGGCGCGTGTGGAATGTGCAGATGCGATCACGCCCAGCGAACCACTTTACGTAGCTTCCCACCTCGGCCCGGGTGCTGTTTTAGAAAACTAAAAACCACGGCAAGGAAATATAGCTCCAACTTAAAATAAGGGGGTTGGATGCCAGAGAGAGGGACGAGTGAGGATGAGAGTGAGCGCAGGATATGACGAAGGCACCTTCATGATGGCGGCTGATAGCAGAATGCCAGCTGCATTCCACCGCCCCTGCGCGTCCTGATTCTCCCCTCGGGAGCAGTCAAGCCATCAATCTATCAATCTGGCTTTTACGGCGAGGAAACCAAACCTTGATTCTTACCCAACGGCCTGCACGCCGCCTATACACCTAATTCGTATATCGCCTTTCCTTTCGCGAGTGGTAGGGAGCAGCTCATACAAGATCAATTTTGCTTTGCCGAGCCCTGAGGGCTTCAGTTAAGATCAAGGAGCCGGAGCACGGTGTCTTTCAGACAATTAGGAACGCTCTAGTGCGCAGTTACCATGATCTTCACTGGCACTATCGAAGCTGAAGGATGGAGTAAATGGTTGATTGAATTCTTCAGAAACGCAGCATCCCTTGACATGAAGTTCGATGGACGTCCTTCCTAGCGTTGGACCCGATCTGATTGGTGGCTCCACCTGCATGCAAAGTGCCGTTCAGTGGAAACCGTGCCTGGGGGATCCTCGAAGTCAGCTGTCAAGGGCCGGTGGTCTGTTCGGCGGCCCACTAATTGCAGCCGCTAACCGTGACCACTGGCGGCTCCGGCTGCTCAAGCCAAGCCAATTTACTGGGACGCGTCGCACAGGCCAGGGGCGCGTCTTTGATGCTCGCAAGCCTCTCCATACTCACAAAGAACAAGACCTCAGCCTGACGTTCATTCCAGCTCTTTCGCCCTCGCTGCCCATCTGCGCTGACGGTGGTCGGTTTGACACCTCGTGACAACATCTACCTTTCTCTCTCTACTCCCCACCGCTTGTCGCAACACCTTCCGAAGGGCGGCAATGATGCCTGGCGCCTCGCGTCGCCGGCCCAGGTCCACCGTCGAGGACGATGACGACGCCGACCATGTCCGCTTTGGCAGCGCAGACTCACCGACTCTCCACGACGGTGCCAAGAGGATGCGATTAAGAGGCGGAGGATCGGACTCGGACTCGGACTCGGACGACGATGACGAAGTTTACCACTCCTTTCACGACGGAGACCGCCGCTCGAGCCGCGCCGCAACGACCAACGGCGCCCCCGACGAAGGGTACCAGCCCGGTGCTATCGTGAGAGTCTGTGTCGAGAACTTTGTCACGTATGAGAAGGCCGAGTTCATCCCCGGCCCGAACCTCAACATGGTCATCGGACCCAACGGCACGGGCAAGAGCTCGCTGGTGTGCGCCATATGTCTGGGCCTCGGCTATCACTCAAATGTGCTCGGTCGGGCAAGTTCCTTTGGCGAGTTCGTCAAGCACGGGAAAGACTCCGCGACGGTGGAGATTGAGCTTCAGAAGCGGCCGAAGGATAAGCAGAATCTCAAGGTCAAGCTGCGCATCAACCGCGAAGACAACAGCCGAAAGTTCTGGGTCAACGGCAAGGAATGCACTCACAAGAACGTCCAGCAAGAGATGCGCAACCTTCGCATCCAGATCGACAACCTCTGCCAGTTTCTGCCGCAGGACAAAGTCGCAGAGTTCGCCGGACTGAATTCCATCGACCTCCTCACCAAGACTCTACAGGCCGCAGCCCCTGAGGAGATGATTCAGTGGCAGAATGAACTGAAGAGGATCTATGCCGACCAGAAAGAAGTCCAGCGTCGGATTGAAACCGATGCCGAGCAGCTACAAAACATGGAGGGCCGGCAGCAAGGCCTCCAGGCCGACGTGGATCGTCTCAGAGAGCGAGAGGACATTCAGAAAAATGTCCAAGACCTCGAGCATGCTCGGTGCATGGTCGTCTACAGTGAAGCCCGCTCCCAGCATACTCAGGCTAGGGAGCGCAAGAAGGAAGCCGCCGCCAAGCTTCGACAGCTTCAGGAAGATTGTGGGCCTTCCTTGGAAGCTGTGAACAGGAAGCAGGAGTACCAGAAGATGCTTGAGGGCGCCCTCAGAGAACGCAAAAGCGTTCTGAAAGACGCAGAGGAATCTGCCGACCGAATCGTTCAGGAGGTCGGCACTCTCGACGACAAGCTGAAGGAGTTGGATGCCAAACGCGACGTCGAGAGAGCCAACATCCAAGCCAAGAGGAAGGAGGTCCAGAACCTGAGGCAAAAGATCAATGGCCTCGAGGCAAGATTGAGAGGCGACCAGAAGCAATTCAATGCTAGTGAATGGAACACCAAGATCCGGGAGAAGGAGCACTTGAAGCGTGAGATCGAGACCGAAAGGCGAGAGGTTAAGAACCAGCACGAACAGCTCAAGGTCCTTGGGAACGAGAACAGGGCGGAGAGGCAACGGTTGCAAAAGAACATTGAGGATCTCGAGTCCATCCAGGGTCGACAAGTGAGCCTGTTGCGGAAGATCAATCCCGATGTTGCGGAGGCCTGGCACTGGCTTCAAGAACATCAAGCTGAATTCGACTGCGAGGTCTTCGGCCCTCCTATGATCACCTGCTCTGTCCGGGACAACCGGTACAGCAACCTCATCCAGTCCATGCTTCAGGGCGATGATTTCCTGTGCTTTACTGCCCAGTCAAAGAAAGATCATCGAAAGCTGAGCGACCAGTTCTACGGCACTATGAAGTTATCGGTCACGATCCGGACGTGCATGTCGCCGCTCTCTAGTTTCCGGCCACCGATGTCCGCGCCCGATGCATCCAGTCTAGGCTTGAGTGGCTTTGCCATAGAGTATATCGAAGGTCCAGAACCAGTCTTGGCTATGCTCTGTGCTGAAAGACGTCTGCATACCGCTGGTGTATCTCTCCGAGACATCACCAATCAACAATATGACAGACTCGTCACCGTTGACAGCATCCAGATGTGGGCAGCAGGGAAGCAAATGTACCAAGTCAGGCGCCGAAAGGAGTACGGTGCGGACGCCGTATCGACAACCACCCGAAATGTCAGTCAGGGCAGGTTCTGGACTGATCAGCCCATAGACACGGCAGAGAAGGACGGGCTGCTGCGTCAGATCGAAGAGCTCACGCAGAAGTTTTCCGAACTGAAAGACAAGTCGAATGCCTTCAAAGACCAAGGCGCGCAGCTGGACGCGAAGGAACGGGACATACAAAAGGAGGTCGATGAGCTGCGGAACACGAAGAACCAGTTGCAGACAGAGTACAACAAATGGGTTACGCTGCCAGACAAGATTGAGGCGGAGAAGAAGACGCTAGCTGCACGCCAGGATGCCATGACCGAGGCACGTAGCAAGACTTACGACCTGAACGATCGACAAGACACTTTGACTCTGGACCGGGCAAAGGCAGTTTTGCGGCACAAGGCGCAGGTGGACGTCATCCGTGAAGCGCATCAGGCGGTCGTTGAAGTCCAAGTGCGCCTGATCGAGGCTAAGTCGGATATCGAGGGTCTCAAGAACAAGAATGCAGACATCACGCGGATGTTGGACGAAGAACAGCAACGGCTCAGCGAGATCGAGCAGGAGCTCACCCGCCTGAAAAAGCTCGCCACCGATGCACTCGTCGTGGTCAAGAACATCTTCGAGGAGAATTCTGACCGCCGACAAGAGCTCGAACAGATCGCGGAGGGCAAGACGGTCGAGGACATCAACAACGAGATCGAGTCGGAGAAGTCCAAGCTCGAGTTCATCCACGCCTCGAACCCCAATGTTCTACAGGAGTTTGAACGGCGTGGGCGAGAGATTGAGAAACTGAGGCGGCAAAAGGGCGCGCAGGAGCGCGACCTTGATATCATGAACACTCGCATCAGGGATATCCGGGAGCAATGGGAGCCCCGGCTAGACGACCTAGTCAACCGCATTAACGATGCGTTCAGCTACAACTTTGAGCAGATCAGCTGTGCTGGCGAAGTCAGCGTCCACAAGGATGAGGACTTTGACAAGTGGGCCATCGAGATCAAAGTCAAGTTCCGGTATGTTGTTTTCATTGCTCTTCCTCGCACTCTCTCTTTGACGTGACCACCAAACTAACGTCTTCTTCTCTGCAGTGAGAACGAGGCTCTGCAGAAGCTGGATCAGCACCGGCAGTCGGGCGGCGAACGTGCCGTCTCGACCATCTTCTACCTCATGTCTCTCCAGTCCATGGCGCAGGCCCCCTTCCGCGTCGTCGACGAGATCAACCAGGGCATGGACCCGCGCAACGAGCGCATGGTGCACGAGCGCATGGTCGAGATTGCCTGCCGCGAGCACACGTCGCAGTACTTCCTCATCACGCCCAAGCTCCTCCCCGGCCTGCGGTACGACGAGAAGATGAGGGTCTTGTGCATCGCCAGCGGCGAGCACATGCCGGGAGAGGGCAAGAAGCTCGACTTTGGCCGGTGCGTGAGGATACAGAGGCGGCTCATAGCCGCGGCGTAGTAGAAAAGGCCGAGTTGAACAGGCTCCTTCAATCTGTATGTTTTGTACTAGCGTTTCTGTTCGTGGTTTGCGGGAAAAGGGGGCTTCGACCTCATTCAATGTTTGTTACGAAGTCTACGAAAGATGATGCTTGTGAGAAAAGCCCGGCATACACCAGGCTGTGTTATCTTCTACACTCTTACCTTGCCACATTTGAGCATTATGCTTTGCATGATCTAATAATATCCTCTTTGCGATGCAGCCTCTTCATTCACGGCACGCCCAGGTTGATGGATGTAGTATGTAGACCTCGGTCCAGGGGCCACAGTCTTGGCAATCCCACCACATAGAAAGTACACCTTGCCCACCAGCCTAGTTCCCATTTCGAGATGTTCTCTTTACGTCCCTCAGTCCACAAAACCCATGGCCTCACATAGTGAGTTTCCAAACCCTGGGCCAATTCCCCCGGAAGTCCTATACCCCACCCGCAAAACATATCCCGATGATGAAGCTCGCATGTTGATGGAGCGGGACAGGGCCGCCAGAGATGACTTGAGGGTAGTCGACTTGATCACCTCGATCACCCCGGGCATCCATGCGCCACATACATGGGGGTTCGCGATTTATCGCGCTGTTTTTGGTCCCGGCTCCGATGAGCGGTTTTCCAATGGAATAAAACGTTTCGAGGCCTGGCTTCGATGGAAAATACGCATGGACCGCTATCTGAACGACGGAACGCCAATGTTGTGGGAACACCATCCTCGGTGGATGCCTCGGGAAGGTGACCGCGATGTGACGGATGATATCGCCGAGAGGCTCTGGAATGAGGTCATCCAGGACTATCCAGGCCAGGAGTCTATCTGTTCGGCCAATGGAGAAGACGACAAGGAAGGCACGGAGGACTTCACGGCCGTCGGCAAGGCATTCGTCGAGCACGTTGCGTCTTTGCAAGTCGACACAACGCGGGTCAACACCCGGTATGACCACTGTCTCATCATTGATGAAACTGCTTTGCAGACCATCGAACGTCTCCCTGAAGAGGTGTACCCGGTGATTCCGCCAGCTGAGAATCGGGAGCAGCTTTCTGCTATCAGGAATACGCTATACAATGACACCTGGGTCTGGGTCCTTGATCGCAAAACGATGCAGGACCGGCTGGACGGCAAGAAAACGCGCTACCCCATTTGGATCCGCCTGAGACTTGCCTTGGTGTATCTTATTTGGTTCCACAGACCTCTAAAGCTTATTCCGTGGGAATGGGGTGAACATGTCGTAGAGGAGGACAGGCACAAATGGGATAGTGTTTTTTGGTGGAATCCAACTGCGAAAACGGCCAACATGGTGATGAGGAGTTTTCGTGAGAGGGCGGTCGACGATGCAGATGAGGAGAGAACAGTTTGATAACGGTATGGACTCAAAGAAACTGCCGTACTCAATGGCAATAGAGCAAACCCGTGACACAGCAGCATGTGTCAATATGAAATGATTTTGGCAAAACGCGCTGTTACAGAGCGTAGACTACGATATGTAGCCCAGCCTGTGTTCCCTGAGATCAAAGCGACTCTGCATCCAATGGGTGAAACTGTCATCGGCTCTTGAGCACTTTCGTAGCTCGAAGGGTTTAAAGGACGACACAGAGCTCATGGTTCTTGTACGCAGTACATCAGTAGGAGCACCTCCAAAGCCAAGCTAGGTGGTAATCATGATTGTCACCTTGCAACATAACTCAGTCTTTGGGACTACACTGAGGATAGTAAGGCATTACATTACCTAAGCGCTGCCTATTTGTGCTCTTCCCGGTCTTTAATTTGGCCAATCGCCGCGGTCACTTGCAATACAGTTTCAGTGTACCATAGTTGTGTACATCTGGAGCCTTGCTCTAGACTCACTGCAGTTTCTGCTATGTATTTCAGGCCTTCCCTTCTCTCCTTCCCTCTCCCACCCACTTTCACTTTCACTTCATTGCTTCAGTAACCTTCCCCAACGCGCGCGGCGCTTGGCACAGCTCAAATTGTCGCAACTCGTCACGACTCAACACTTTCTAAGACATGGCAAAGGTCGCCATGCAAAGATTTCGGCCTCCCCCAACTTTTCGTGAGGTTGTGAGGCAGCGACCTCGTGGAGATGCCCCAACAACAGAAGTGCGCGATTGGCTCCGGCAAGGCTTCCTTCATCATGATTACCAGCAGCAAGTCAACTTCGAAAATGTCTTCTGGAATGGTGTATCATTGCAAAATATCTGTAAGAAGCAAGATTGCACACGAATCTATGAAGATTTGAACATTCCCCCAAGACACGCCCAATGCATCATGGAAACTCTCTATAAAGTTTTCAATACGGACAGGGGCCCGGTAAGTGGTTTCCAAGTGTTCTCATATTGCACTATAGATCTTATATTGTAACATTAATATCCAAGTAACATGCCAATAATGCTAATGATAGAGACAGGACCGTTCCCTCTATCTGGTATGATCCCTCATTTCTCATTTCTCCTTTGGCTCTCGCTTGGTCATGACTAGTGTCCACAAACACAGTATTATTAACCGGATAAAACAGATGGGGATAGTGGAGCTACTCATAATGAGCATAGCGATGGTCGTCATTTTCAAGATATAAACATATTTGGGTGATGAGAATCTTTTATCCCAAAGTCGATAGTCTTGACTTGGAAGTGGTGTTACTATTTTGATATGTGTAGTTCATTGAACAAATCAATGACATTGAGGCCGTTTGAAGAGACTTGGTACTGTGGACTTGATTGGTTGGGTTGGAAACATCCATGCAATATTGGAGCAATCACAAACCAGCAGTCCCATCCACGTCTCAGATATTCCAGCCGGTATTCCATGCGATGAAAACGACCCTGCATCCAACAAGTGAAGCTGTCAACGGCTCTTATATGGGCACCTTGGTCCAGGTGCGCATGGAGTCTCTCGGCTATGCGTAGTTCACGTCGGAATTCCATAAGTATCGCTTCAAGATTGGAGTGAATTACTGGATGATTGAGATACGTGCTGATGCATACAACATAAATAGTATGGAACCGATCTCCCTCAAGGCGATAGTTGGCAGTATCCCCCTCGAACCATAGCCTAGTATTCACCACCGCCAGCGAACCGTGTATCATCGTAACAGTCTCCTCCCAGGGATTTTACCGGCCCAAATCCACCGTCGAGGACGCCATGAGGGAAATCAATGGGGGTTTCACTGCTTGCACAACACCTAAATCCAGAGGGTTGCTGACGGCAAGACGAAACGCTTTGGTGCCAAACTCGGTCACTATGTAATGGGTCAGCCTGCCAGTGAAACTTGGTATTAAATTTCAAATTTCAAATTTCAAATTTCAAAGGACGGAACAGTTTCAAACAAACAAAGCCCGAGAGTGGCTGTGCAGGTGGGAAGGCGTGGTGATGTTAGTATCGTAGAGATCCAAGACATGATGTTCACGGTGTCCGCCGCGGAAGGGACAACAGCTGGTGTTGTCATTGTTGAGTGGAATGTTCGACAGTCAGACCACTGGTTCAGCTGGCATGTGGGGTATGAGTATCCTGGTCAATTTAAAAGAGTTACGTTGACTCATGCAATCTCAGATTCGCATATCCGCGTGGGTGGAGCACAAGGCTCGGGGTTGCAGAATTAGCACTATCCCAAGCAGATAGGCCAAATCAACCCAAAGGGCAAGGCAGCCTCGCTTCTTATGCATCTGTCTCCAAATTCCACTGCCTATCTAGACAATGTATGGATTTGGACAGCTGATCATGACATGGAGTATGTTTAAGCCAACGAATTCTTCCTCTGCACTAAGACCATCGTCGAAAGGGTGTCACCACTTCTCAATTCTCCAACCCTAGCAACCGCAAACAAGAATGGCTTTTTATCTTCTATACTTGGGTGGCTAATTACAAGGCGCTGAGCAGACAAGCAGCCAACGTCGGTTCAAGGGGTTTCAGATCTATACGACTGAGGATATTGACGATATGCCTTCTCGATACCCGGAGGCTTGTCGGGTGGCTCATTGACTGCAAATTTCAGTTACAATTTCAATAGTACATTCAGGCTTTTGAGTTTTGCCCTTGTGATGGGAACGCCTCGGGTTCCCTCATTTGAGAAAGGAACAGACTCCCTGGTGCCCATGCTCACGTGAAAACTCTGACCACACCAGTCAAACTGGAGGTGGCCGTACAAACTCAAGGTGAGAACAGGCATAGCTCTGCGCTCATATATATTCATCGAGCCCCGAGCCCTGCCCCTTGACCTGTGTCGAGGTGTCATTGACTACCCTGACAACTGAACCCAGATGTTGTTAAACACTTTAGGTTCTTGAGGCCTCAATAAATCTCTGAGGTTAGTTCACAACATTCCATATCTCATGGCCAAGGCCTAGTTGTTATGGCAAAGGTTCCAGGAGAATACAAGGACAAGTGAATGCCTGAGGTAGAATAAACTTGATTTGAGTTGAGAGTGAATTGAAGTGATTCCAATAAGACAGCACAGCCGCAGCTGGACGAAAAGAAAAACCCCATGGCGGCTCGTGTGGGCCATTTTGGGCCCACTAGCAATAGCCACGGCATCATTGCGCAGGGCGAAGATGCCGGTGAGGAGGGCGCACATCCAATCTGGACGTTCCAGCATCCGTGGCATGCTTCTGGTCTTCTTCGCAGCAAAGCTGACAGCAAGGGTGCTGGCAACTGTCCAGGGGTTGGCGGTTTCATTACCGACTGTACCCAAGAAGGAGAGCATGTTCAAGACAATCACATCTTGCGGAGCGAACTCGTGTCTATCTTGGCGCTGCTAGGCCGCAAGTTCCTCGAGGAGGAGCTCCGGGGTTATGCTAAAGCTCTGGCCAACCTGGTGATCGGTAAAACGAAAAGTTGAAATGGGCAAAAAAGAAGGAAAAAAAGAAGTGACCAAAGCCGGGATCAAACCTCGCATCAACTGTAAACTTGAAATCCAGCATATGAGCAAGGGGGCTCTGACATGGAAGCCTATTATCAATTTCCTGGTCCGTCCGTGTGCTATCCAACTGCACCAAAGCACCCGACTTCTGGCCGTATTGACAGAGCTTCGTCTACTTACTTATAAGGGACACTGCGGGATCACATTCTTTGACCCCTACCTAGGTACTCCGTGTGAGATTTACGCCCTGACCGCAAACCCCGACTTGTTGCCTGGCTCCCATCACTACAAGCCCTCTCCCTATCTGGATGAGCATTCTTCCATATAAGATATACTGACAGCAACTGTAGGTTACTGTTATCACATGTTCCTGGGCTGTTTTGCAGTAATTGTACCATACTGTGTAGGAGTGTCAATTTCGTTGCCTGTGCAACGACTGAAAACACCCCCTTTTGAGCCGACGGATGACATTCAGGGGCCAAAGTCACCTTGCATATCGGCCACAGCGCGATACAGCAAGATCGCGAGAAAAGGGTACAGCGATAATCCATAAAACACATGTATGGTACGCAATATGTTGCCGAGTCCAACTATGACGCAAAGCTGGGAAGCTTTTGTTTCGAGAATACAGGGCATGGATAATCTACGTTTGTAAATCCTGCGGCAGAGTTGCAGCCCGTTTAGCCATCAAAGCCGCGGCTTGAGCCCCAACGACCTGTTCCCGCGCCGCAGCATGAACACAAACAAGGCAGGCTGTCCAGTAGGGCTTCCATCTGGGCAACGACAGATGGCTTGTTTCGTGGGGAGAGAAGAGGGTGGGTGGGAGAAAAGAAAAAAGAAACGGAACAGCTAATCAGCCTCCGACACAAACGGTCGCGTCCTTCCGCCACTCCTCCGGCGTCTCATTTAGGACGAGCAGTCGATATTGCTGCTTCAGAACAGAATTCATTGGCCCCTGGGACGTCGACGGAAGCCACTCGAAATCGGCTGGGGATCACAGAACTCGGCCAAGCAGGGGCGCCTGGTAGCATCCTCAGGGGCAGCCATTCATCCCTTTGGACGTCCTCCCCCGCCGTTTGGAGCACACTCCTCCATGCGCGGTGTTCAAGGGGGCGAAACGCTCAGAGATGGGGTCACCACCGAGAAGTGATTGGGTGTCGCGCCCCCGACAGAACCGGTCCTAGGCTGCCGGGGCCTTGGAACTGCTCCGGGCGTTCTGCATCGTGGGTGTCAATTTCACCGCCCCTGGGCCACCGCATGCAGGGCCCCGGATGGTGGTCACGCACGAACTGAGATGTGAATCGAGGTTTACTGGTCGACGCTCGCCCACGTAGAGATTCCCGCTCTACGCAAGTGCCACTTCAATCTCTTTCAACACCTCCTCCATCTGGCAACATGGCCGCTCGCGCGTATCCAGGTGATCGCCATCAACCGCAGGCAAAACGTTCGGGGTCAGTCAACGCCCTACGCAACTTGAGATTCGCAAGGGCCCGATCATCATCGCCGCCGGGCCAATCACTATCAGAATACAGCGTTCGAGGCAGAAACCTTGTACCGATTCCTGTTTCCATGGAGGCGAACAGAGAGTATTCTTAGACTTTGATGAGAAAGGGGACAGCTGCGGGATGTTCATGTCGATAGCCACAGTGGCGAGTAGGAGGGGCATGTATGACAGCTGCGGCTGTCAACAGACTTGGGGAAGATTTGCACTCAGGAACGGCACCTGATTTGCTCACTCCCCAAATACTAGCCACCGGCACTGAAGAACGCCGGAATAAATATAGCAACAGGAAAACAGCCTCACCGAACCAGATCTACGGGCACCTAACTTGATGGGCTCACATTGCAGAGCTCTAGTTGATCGTCCCCTCCTCTTGGGGCATGCACATCGCGGCTACGGGGTGGCGAGACAGGGCGAGTAGCCAGGAACGCTCAGGTCTTGTCTTGAGAGGAGGCAAGAAGGAGCAAGGCTGGGTGATCGCACATCTCCCGCAGCTTGCGGAAATTTCCTTCCGGGACTGGGATCCGAACCATCCTGGGCTGGCGTGTCAGAGTTCTGCGAGGCCGGTTAGTCGGAGTGTCCCAAGTGGCCGAAGTGTAGTTATTTGCCCGACGTAGTAACGATCGCGAACTGTCAGAGACAATTACCAGGAAATGACGGGAGCTGCCTGCAGGGGGGCCGTATATGCCCTTGCAGGGACTTCTGCAGGATGCAACACCCAACGCCTGCCTCGATGTCACTTGTGGTGCGATCCGAGGATCCTGGCCATGTGTTGCATTTTGGGTGCTCGGCCGCCGAACCGGGGACAAGAAACAGCTCTGACGATCGATGAGAGCTTTCGAAACCGTGAGTGTTGGCTGGATTTTGCTGTTAAGGGAGCAGGCTGCCGCCTCAGTGTCCATATCTGAGCAGGTATAGACAAGCCTTTATCCTGTGAACGGAGGACCGGTTGGCTGGGATGTCGATCGAGAGACGTCCGGCCCTATCCAGACTCCCCGTCGGCCCACATCGTCAGCGGCACACGTCGCAAGATGGCGCCTGCGAGAGCGTGTTGTCTGCCACATGGCACCGTGGTATGGTGTCAGAAGCCGTAGACATATTTCGCTGGGACGGTGGCCCTGTGCTGTCAGCTCCTCCTGCTGGCTGGTGTGGAGGGTAGCAGTGGCCGGAGAATTTGCACCGCCCTGGTCAGTGCCGGGCCTTGGAAGTTGGAGCCGCTTCAAATCTTAAAGCAGACCAAGGATCTTGAGCGCGCCGCGCGCGTCATGCCCCCCAGCCCGGGCAGCGACCGTGGTCTTGATTGGCCAATGTTTAATTTGCTGTGTATTGTTGCATTGGGGCCGCGCTGGACAGAGGCCTGTTTTGTATGGACCGTGGAGCATGGACAATGGATCGTGCCGTTGCGATCTATTCCAAAAAAGTGCGAAACCAGAGGTGATTTACGCCGATTCGGGAACGAGAGATCTTCGGTGCCAAGTGTCCGGATGAGGAGTAGGAGGACAAAGAGGAAAGGCCTCCTCGGCCTCCAAGACGCACGCTCCAAAAAGGAAATGAGGTCAGGACCGATCAATCGACCAGATGTTGGTCCGAACAGGGATGGCCTCCAGCTCGAAGGCGCTCGACGACGGTGTAGGAACGTGCTCGAGAACGATGGATTTACCCGTGATGCATACCGTACGGCAGCAAGCGGTCCTGTCACACGCACTTGCGGCGTGTCCTATGCCTGCCTGTACGCCGAACCCCATGGTGTCCCAGACGCCTCACGAATGAGACAGGGCCTGCCTGGTGCAACCGTCAATACTCGGAACGCTGGACGACGACCTTGGTTGGGACCGTGCTCTGCTACCCAATCTGGGCTCGGCCAAACTGCCAGCCAACCGCTTTTGTTTCCGATGCGGGCGTAGGTAGGTACGTCCCACGAACAACACTCTACCTGGTGCACATCCGACGCAGGGGAGAGGCTGACAGGGAATAGATCTTGCTTTTTTTTGTTGTTGTTCCCAGCCAAGTCAGATAAGCGTGCCCAAAGGGCTGCACCGTTCCATCCCGAACGAGCCGTGCACCCTCGTTTTGACGCTGGCACCGCACGAAGAGAGAGAGAGGGGAACTGCGGTCGACGATGTGATTTAAGGGAAATTCGATGTGGCGCTGCGGCGGGATGGGATAATATGGCCCAAATGGCGAGTAATAAGACCTGGCCTTGTTTCACGGCAGGGGGTCATGTCATGGCAATGCGGGAGCCAAGACGTTGCAATCTATCGGGAGCTCCCATCAGCCAGCGCTGCCGTGACAGATGGACCCGAAGCCTGCCTCCTCCTTCCCTGACTTTTGACGCGTAAGAAAAGGGGCATGTGTAGGTATTCGGGTTCCTCACGACGATAGGTACATGATCAGATATATTCCCTTTGAAGCTAGCCCTGCGGGAGGCATGGCGTTTAGATTCATTGTGCTAGGTAGGTAGGTAGGGTAGTCCCATAGGAAGTGGCCAGGAACATCCTCTGCTTGGTAGGCTTTTATTAATAGAAACACCAACCGAAGCTTGTTGGGCTTTTGTCTCTCATCAAACGAGACATTGTGCCCCGACCGGGGGAGACACGGTCCCGCAATAAGCTCCCGCCTCCGGTGGAAGCTCGTATCTTTCACATGTCCGGCGACGTTCCTGGAGCTACTGCACTGCAGGCTTGACGACGAACTGCGTATCAAGCTCCCCGAAGGCCAGAGCTTTGACAAAAGAGTGCTAGCAATCTGTACGTGGACCGATGCATGTAGTTGTAATAGGTATGGGATAGGTAATCATCACTCACGATGGATGGGGTGTAACCGACTAGGGCCTGTAGTAATTGCGGGGCAACTGCCAGGCCATGATTAGAAGAATCGCTGTCTGGCGAGAGCAGTACTTGTAGTTCTCTGTCTCTGGCTGACAGGGGTGACAGGTACAAGTTGGTAACTGCGTCACCCAGATCGCTTTCGCGATATTGAAGACTGGGTCTATGCAGGAGGCCAATGGAGGTCAAGCAGCGGTGGCGAGTCTCTCTCTCTGTACCATCTTCAAAGTCATCATGTGCTTGCCAATACCTAGCCTAGGAGCCTAGGTATGCGTGGGCGGGCTCAAGAGCTACACCCCTCAAGATTCCCTCTCCACCTATCAACAGCTAGGCAGGTAAGGAAGCTTGAGCAAGAAACCCCGGGTTGCGAGCTCGAAGTAGGTAACCATGTACCTATCCGAGACGGTGGACAAAAGGCCAATTGGCAAACTAGGTAGAGGCTCCATACCTAGACAACTAACTATCGAGAAGAGTGTAATGTACGGAGTAGGGATCTGCGAGGACTTGCCGCATTCCAAAGCTTGAGAAAGACCAGCCGCCAGTCCGGGAGTTGACGGTCTCGAGACGGTTAAGCTCCCGACCTCAGCTGTCCATGTCAACGGCTAGAAGCAACGCAGGAATGTGCGTCTCAACGTTGCCGGGGCTGCCGCCCACCAACCTCTCCCAAGAGAGAGAGACAGAGGACAGAGGAGTGGGTGGTGTGGCTCGCGTCTCGAGCCGTGTCTGTTCAAGATGGACATGCTCACCACCATCTCCAATCCTTATGCTTCTCCAGAAGAGCTAATAAAGGAGCTACTAGATTCTGCTTCACCGAACAACCATCTGATTGTATACATTGGTACCTGGGGATCTACTGATTGGTGTCTGTATGCACCTAACATCAAGGAACGAATTGACACTACAGAAAACACCATCCAGTCTTAGTAGTATCCCGTTTGGTACCTAGGTAGGTAGTTATGCTGGCGCGCTTTGATACAGTCTATGTACTGTACGCTTTCAAGCCCCATAGAAAGACGGTCCGGAGAAGTTTGCTGAGAACGTCTGGGCGGCCGTTGCAGATCATGATACAGCATTGCCTCATCGTTCAGCACGGTCGCCGCATGCACTGCACTCTCGCCAGAATAATACTCTGTATGTCCTCCGGAGGGAAAATCAGCGAGAGAAAAGGAGCAAATGAAGGAGGATTCACACAAGATCCCTGTCGCCGTTCGAGAGCAGGTCCCGGCTAGTCCTGCAGCAGGCTATGCCAATTCCAATTTCCCATTCCAAGTTCTTCCAACTTCTCTATCTTTTTTTAACCTGTGTGCCTGTCTGGCAAGTCCTAGGCAGCTCTAGCTGTTGAAGATCAATTGCTGGAGTAGGCCGTCCTCGAAGCTCCGCCTCAAGGATCGCTACCAATGGGGATTATGTCGAAGTCTGTCTGGCCTCAGGGCAAAGTATAGTTGCCTACCAAGGCGCTGCACTAGGTACCTGCATTCTGATGGATACCTACCTGGGTACCTAGGTATCCTCGAAGCTTGAAGTTCCCTGCTCCGCACCCCATACCTACCTACCTAGGTAGATTCACTTGGGCGCTGACAAATGGACGCCTTCCTATGTAGACAAATTGTTCTGATCCAATTCCGCGCGCCCTTCTCCGCCCGCAGGGCAAGCCGAAGCTGGACAGCTCGCCGCGAGTGGAGATTGTGTGAGCTGACTGCCCATGGCTGCCCAGACCCAGACCAATGTCCAGCTAGGTATTTCCAGGACAGGGGCCGCGAGCATCTGAAGAGTCGACAGAGAGTTCCGGCGGCGTTCGTTGTGGATCGGTCTAGTTAGTGGATAGGGCCTGTACATAAACCTAGTAGCGCTGGGCAGGGGCAGGAGTGGAAATCTCGATTGCCCATCCCAAAGTACCTGACCCACGCAGGGGCCTTCCCTGCATCTTGGCACCACTCTTCGCACTCGAGCATTGAGACTCTTCATTCTCAGGCCACTCGCAGCTCGGTTTTTTGAGACAAAAGCTGGAGGGCGAGCCAAGAAGAGAGGGAAAAAAAAGAGGACCCTGAATTGGCAAACAGACTGTTTGTTGAAGTTCGGTTCGTTGGATTTGTTCCGGCAGATGTCGGCTGGGCTGCCTCCATCCAGAACAAGAGCCTTCGTTGGGCAGGGGGTTTCAACGACTTCGGATGAATCAAAGTTGCATGTGTCCGAAGCATTTGTCGAGACTCGGTGTGATATCGAACACACGAGGAGCATCTCTCTTCAACACTCCAGACAGACAGCAAACGCTCTGGTACCTAGATTCATTGTGCAGCAGGGCGGACTCCTGCATAAGGAGACGTCAAAAGCATGTCAGCCACGGAACAGCCAAACGGCCGTTGCAACATCGTAATCAACGGCGACTACCAATCAGAGTCGCTGGGATGCCCGGCCAAAAAAGCCCTGGGATCGTTATCCTGCTCGGCTGGCATACGGTGGCCGTTGCAGGGGTCTGACAGGCAACAGCAGGGCATGATAGAGTTGGAGTTCTCGTGTGACGTGAGTTTTAAGCCTTCATTTGCAGTCACGCTCTTCCTCTTCGTGAGAAGCATTCGGAGAACAGGAGAAAGGACAAGAAGAATGGAAACAATACCTAGCACAAAAGAGAATCGCAGAAGGGATATATCAATCACTGATCCGTCAGAGACTCGAAGTGCACGGAGTAATGTACATAAACGATCGGACAAGACGACGATACCCAGCTGGAGTGGGCCAAACCCGCACGAGAGCGAAGAGTCTAGGTCTTGTCAGACCTGTGCGTACTTTAGGTACAGCCGGCGGTGCGGGTATCGATCGAGCAGATCCAGTCGGAGGCGCCCACGTTACGGAGGCGTGTCGGCTTCTTTTGTCATTCGATAGTCACGTCTCTGGACGTGTAGCCATGTAGCCAGCCTGCAGTGCTTTGCTCTTGTTCCTACCGCATGCGCACACTAATGATACCAAGTAGGCGCTCTGCTCTGCTAGTAGAAACACACGTCTTCGACGAGTAGCTCCCCTAGTGATTGCTTTTCGCCGCGTCAATCAAGTCTGTCGAGTGGCCGCTGGTTGTTCACAATGGGAACCGGAGAGTTGAGGATAAGAATCCTACCGACCAGAGGAGCCTGATGGCGCTAGCCCAGTCTTGTATGCACTAGAAAGGGAGCCCATTGCTCTGCGAGGCGCCGCGCGGCGCCCCCTCCGAACGGTTCCCCCCCCATCCTGGTGGGCACCTACCCACACTTGGCCTATCCCCATTCGAGTATTTTTGCAGGTGATTTCCAGCTGGTACCAAGGTGCAAAGTTGTCTGACAGGCATGTCGTTGAGTAATACGACCTTGAACCGCTGTCCCTTGGCCCCTGCTGGCACGGCGGCGGGCTGGGCAACAAACAGCTAACTACAAGTAGGCACCAAAGCAAAAATATCATCTTGGGTGCCGTCATCGTCCTGGGGGTCGCGGTGGGCCCGGATCCAGGTACCGACAGTGGGTGATGGTCCGCGGATAGACTGGGAGGAGGGAGGAGCTGCGGTGAAAATCTGATGATCCATGGTGGTAATGAATGATACTGCATCGTGAGAGAGCGGGAGAGAGAGAGTGTGTGTGTGCCTCGCTGTTGGATTGGAGCTCCACGCCACACTGCGACAGAGATGCGGGCAGCAGCAGCAGGATGGATGGATGACTGACTGATTGACTGACTTTTGAAAGGATCGGCGACACGCGCTTCTCGAGCTTTAAACTTTGTGTGCGCGCCTTTTCGCAGAGGCCAGTACTCAACGCTGCTGGGCTTGCCGGTACCTGACACTAAAAAGTCATCTATCCGTCGTCTCCGGCCGCGAGCGAAAAGGCCCCCCAGTCAATACGCGTATCGATTGGCGTGAAGAAAAAAAACAGGCACACCACCTTTTTCTTGTTCTTCCTTTTTCGCCTCGCAGACACGCAGGAGAGTCGGGCTGCCACCCTTTGGCATGACCCGGGACTCGCGCAACCCTGCCTGGGAAGCTTGGCTTCTGACCACATACGTAAGGGTACCTCGTACTGGGCTGCTGGGGAATCAGTGAATGCATCCCATATGCGAATTGTGGGCTCGTCTCTCGGGCACAGCCTACCTCCGTGGGTGCGATCTCCCCAACAGGAGTAAAGCAAAGCAGCGCAAGTACCTCGAATTGCACTGTCATCGACTCACATCGATTCGTACCCCCGGCCTGGGTACTTTACTTTGCCTTGCTTTTCCTTCGCACCTTATCTCCACCCTGTCTCCATATTGCTTTGCTCAGTGCCCGCTTCCATGGCGTCTCTCTTCTAGATCCTGATTCTATTTTTCTTTCCCTTTTCCTGCTAGCCCATCCGAGGTCACTACTTGTATTTGCTCCACGCGGGAGAGGAGAGACAGGCAAGGAAGAGACAGAGAGCGAGAGAGAAGAAAAAAAGTAGCGACTCGCATCAGCCAGGCAGAACATATACACACAAGCTGTCTTTGGTCATCCCCTTACTTTCTTTGCCGTCGCAAACATCATCTGCTCGGACAAACCCTCGTTAGATTCCGTTCATCCACTCGTTTCTCACACCCCCCGAATCTTGCAGCGCTGTCAATCTTGGTCGGAAGGAGGACAGAGACAGAGAGCTCTCCCCTGCCGGGCCTATCAATCCACCCGCGTGTAAAAGAGTCCCAGAGGCCCAAGACTCCAGTCCAGCGGCGGCCCCCCCCCAACCAACCCAACCAACCAACCACCCTCCACCGATCGACCTAGTTCCTTTTCCCTTCCCCCAAGGGCCCGAAGGCACGACCTTTTATTTTTTTTCTCTCTACCTGACACCCTGCGCAGGCGTTACGCTCGTTCACCCTGCCCTCGTTTTGCTGCGCCGCCTAGCTCTTTTGCTGGACTAGTGATCAAGTTGCGCCACCCAATACAACACCTTGTCGACCTGTCAAGGCCAGCTGGGCTTGCGCTGCATTCGCCAGACCGCCGCATCAGTCGCTCATCATCTCGTCGATTCATTGCCGAAAGGTGCCTGGGGGCCTGTTGCGCTGACGCTCAAGCCCGGCGCTTCGATCTGCAGTGCGTCTTTAGCTTGCCGGCTTTCCCACCTGCGGCCACTCGTCACCCGCAATTGTGACAGATTCGACACGCCCACATCGGCCTGCAACACCCCCTTGTTGCCCGACAAACAGACCAGGCGATTTCCATCGAGGAGAACTTAGAAAAAAGATCAAAGTTGTCATCGAGGAGCGGCACCGAGAAAGAGAAGGAGGAAGAGAATTAATACTCATTCCGGTGTACGACGTCACTCCACGCGAGCGGGCCTGGGAAGAAGAAGAAGAAGCAGAGGAAGCTGCCACAAGGGAGGAGGCCATTCTCGCGTTTCTGTGGTGCGAGGCCACCTTGGATAGCCAACCCGGCCCTGCTCTGATCGCGAGAGGCGCACAGCTGAAAAACAGCACAACGCATCTCGAAACTTGGCTAGCCCACTAATCCGGTTCGGGCCCTTTCACCATGGCACCCGTGACGCCCCGTCTCAAGATCCTCTCTGGTAAGTTCCTCTATTTGTTGCACCTGTCCGCCGCCTCTTGGATCGCCGACACTGCTCCCGCGCTACAAGTGCGACGTCGTATCATCCTCTGGACGACACAGCGAACCTCAATCCTCTGCCCTCCTGTCCCACGTCTTCCCCCTCCTAGACCGCTCTCCCTCTCCACACTCGTTCGCACCGTTTCTTCCCCTCGTCTACGCGACCAGAGACACACATGCCTTTCCAATTGGCGTCATAGACCATGGCGGACTTTGAGCTGATGAATGTGTGTTCAGTGGGTGGGAATGCAGTATCTGCTTTCCTGTCATGGCGACTTCAGGCGACGAATGCCTGCGACGTCACTCTTGTCTGGAAGTCTGGGTTTGAGCACGTTGCCCAATATGGCATCTCCTTCAAGTAAGTCGACGACAGCAGCTTCGGGCGCCCATAGTCGGCCCTCACTGACCCGTCTTCCAGATCGCCATCCTTCGGCAACGAGCGCTTCAAGCCACGACACGGTAAGTCGCAAACTATCTGTTGAGGATGCTGAACTCGGCCCTGCATGCTTGCTTGCCCGTCGGATAACATGGAAACTAATGCCGTCACCGATTAGTCGTGAGATCTCCCGAAGAAGCCGCCGCCCGTCGAGAGGGCGCCTTCGACTATGTCATCCTTTGCATCAAGGCGCTGCCGGACATCTACGACCTGGCCGCTATCATCGATTCAGTCGTTACTCCTCAGCACACTTGCATCCTCATCAACACTACCCACACTCTCGGCGTCGAGGCGGCCATAGAAGAGAGGTTCCCCACCAACGTGGTTCTATCATTGGTCTCTGGCGCTGAGATCACCCAGCTTGGAGCTAGTGAATTCGAACACAAGGGCTCAACGGAAATCTGGGTAGGGCCCGCTAACAAGAACGACAACATCCCTCATTCGATCCAGGAAGACATGGCTCAGGCCCTCGCCATGACTCTGAGCACTGGCCAGGTGGAATGCAAGGTCTCATCAAATATCAGGCAACAACAGTACGAGCGGGTTATTGGGTACGTTCTCTGGCTCGATCTACTCTGCATGCCCTCCCGTCCCGACCTTGCTAACGTTTCCTCACAGCCCAATTGCCTTCCATCCCGCCAGTGTCATCTTCGAGACCTCGAATCATGCAGCTCTTCTGGACAAGGTTGGCGTTTCCCAACTCGTGTCCGATGTCATCGACGAATTGCTCTCGCTGGCCGACGCCCAAGGCTGCAAGCTTCCCGCCGATTTCAAACAGAAGACGATCAATGAGATGACCCAACCTCAGACGGCCGAGAGTGTCATGTGGCAAGACTACATAGCGAGGCGGCCGATGGAAGTCGAGACCTATCTCGGATCTCCCATGAAGCTCGCGCAACAATGTGGTATCCGCTTGCCACGGATCGAGACCCTCTACACCGTTCTTTACAACTTGAACATCACCAACCAGACCCGGCCAAAGCCTGGTGATCCGGTGCCCCGGCCCGGTGGATCTCCAGGCCCCGTTTCATCGCCTGTCCCGCGAATGTCATCACAATCTATCCCCCCACGGCCCATGCCGAATGGTATGCCCAACGGCAATGGCATGAATGGCATGCCTCGTCCCCGCCCTCGTGGTTCTTCGCAGATGGGACCGCCTCCCGGCATGCGACGACCGCCTCCGTCGATGAACGGCGGCCCGCCCAACGGTTTTGGAAGACCCCCGACAAACGGTTACGGACCGTCCTCGAGAGCGGCGTCTAGAAGGGGCTCGATGGAGGGTGCAGATCTCGAGGAGTTCAGTCACCTCGTGGTGTACGACGATATCCCCGAGGGCGGCGATGCATCCCAGGACCTGGCCATGAGAGAGCGCGAGCTGCAGATCAGACAGCGAGAATTGGCACTGCGAGAACAGGAGATGAGGATGAGGCGCGGACCGCCTGGGCCAGGCCCGCCGCGACGAGGACCGCCTTCGATCCGGCCCAGCCCGTACGATGACGATGACGAGGATGAGGACTACTTTGACCCGGCCTCGACACCTGGACCGATGATCGACCCGGACAACTTCGATATGATGAGCGTTACGTCGAAGAGGAATCGAAAAATCCCGCCCCCGAGTGCCGCCCAAATTCGCAAGAACCCCGAATTTGGCGCCATGCCGCCGCGCAACAGCCGGTTCCGGCCAAACTTTGGCCGCAATCGGTCGAGCCAGATGGTGGACTCGACGGCCCAGCTCCACGCCAACATTCTGGATGACCCATTGTTGGGCTACTCGTCAAATCGTTATGGTACCGTAGACCGGGGAGCGATGCATCACGAATCAAGGGCGAACTCGCTCACGGCATCGCGTCTGGAGGATCTGCAGTACAACGGCGGCGGCCCGCCCATGGGCATGGGTATGAACGGCGGATACCCGCGCCGTGCCAGCCAGTCTCCTGGTAATCCATACAGCCCATCGATTCGCGGGGGCAACGGTCGGCCTTCCCCGCCCAACGGCTACGGACCTGCCATGGGAGGGCGGCCCTCGCCACCTGACGGAGTACGGCAGCCGGTCCCACGATACCCACCAGGACAGGGCAACAGCGTTGCGCCGCAGCAGGTGGAGCAACACGTCGGGGTGAGCGCCCTTCAGCCGCCACAAGGCAAGAATGTGCGAAGTCTGACAGGTAGTGCGAGCGCCAGCGCGGGGAGTGGTGATTCCACCCATCTCGACTCGGAGCCATCTGCACACAGCAGTACCAGCAGTCTAGGGCCTCGCCCTCCGATTGGAGTACGGTAAAAGAAAGGGGGGGGTTCTTGAGCGCAAGAACCTGAGGGGGGGGCTATAATATCGGTTTTTCGGCAATGATTCGTATATCGTTTCATTTTTGATTCCTCCTGACGACAATAAGCGAGAAGCCGGGGGCGTTCGAGCCCGGCTTCGCTTTTCCTTTGCTCTTTTATTTTCCAGAATCGATCAGCATCCGGGTTTCTTCCGACACGATAAGAAACGGCGTCGTCGAACCCCTTTCGAGGACCTCGAATCTGGGTTCTTTTGGGTTTCACGAAGCCGAATGACAAACACAGCACACATGACTAGAGAGGGATTCTTTGGGTTAATTTTTTAAGAAAAAAAGGGGCGCACACATAATGTTCCAGGGTTCTCTCCGGGGAGGGCGGACAGGGTGAGAGAGAGAGTCCAGCACATAAGGCATCCGGTACGACAAACCATCAAACACACACACACATCACCTATTTTGTAATACTGCATTGGAGGTCACAGGGGCGGGAGGAGACAGGGCGATGGAAGGAATGAGGGTCCCCCTTACCCATTGCTCGAAGCATACACCTAATTTAGGACGCTTTTTCTGCTTTCTTTCTCTGTTCAGGTTTCTGCGGCATTATCCTTCTCGGGGACAATTGAGACCTATCTTTCTTCTTCAAACAAGAACAACACCGACGACGACGACCGAATTTCTTCCCTTTTTCTCCTTTGTCTTAGACTTTATAGTCCGGACATGTACGCACCTTTTCCTCTCTCTCTTTTTCTTTTGTCCCTGATGCCGAGTATATTTGTCCTTGCAGCAACAACGAGGGATTTGGGTGCCGAGGGAAGGGGTGAATGAAAGGGTGAGGAAGAGCTCGACCGTGGCAAGTGAGCCAGAGGCAGAGAGGACGGAGGGCGGAGGGCGGAGTGCCGACACCTGTAGAAATGGAAGACGGTCAAGCGAGGCTGGACACCGGGCACTGTGATACGACAGAGGGGTCATCAGCCGGGTTAATTGAATCATTGTACATTGTTGACAACTGGTCTGATCTCTGCTCTCGATCTTGCTGGAGTGTGACCTTTGCTACTACCCGGCCCGGGGGGAGGGGGTTTGTTTCGGCTCAGGCGCCAACAACAGACAACAAGAACCTCGTTACCCAAGGGCGAGCCTCCCGACAAATATGCCGTAGGAGAATATATCTCTCCCAATCCCAATCACTCGTCCCCCCAAGGCCTATTATCTCCGTACTGCCATCACAGAATCGGGGTATTTCTGCTTCGATATAGCAGCCGCCCCCGATACACGTAGCTAAGGTAGGTAGTCCAGGATATCCCGGCCATTCGGTGCTGGGTGGGCTGGCGAAGCTGGATAGCGCCCCGGGCCGCCGAGTAGGTGCATCAAAGTGGGTGTCGTCCAGCTGTGTACTCTACTTGTACAAGTAATTAGCGTCATCTGCGGGGGGAGGGCTGCAGGGGGGTGGGGGGGAAAGACGCGTCCTGAACCCGCCCGACCGCGCACTGACCTTGTGTAAGTCGAGTTTGATTGTTTTCTCCAGCTGATTGATGTGGGACGTACGTGGGTGCAAAACCCCGCAGCCACCAAAACAACATCATCTCGTCACAGCGCATCGCATCGCCAGGCGCAACGTCACCTGGCCATCCATCGTCACAGGACACCGCTGCGCAAGGCTTGGAAACCCTCAGCCGTATTTCGTTGTGGCTGCGCCAGAGAATACCCAGCTCTTGTCTCTAGACTTGCTTGCTCTTTGCAGGCAGCACCTCTGGCAGTCCCTACACGCACGCAACAACCAAACGAAAGAGGACCGGTGAGCATTGCCGCAGGTTCTGCCCGCACAACACCGTTCAGACGGCGTCATGAACAACAACAACACTACTTTCAACCCCCAGGGGGGCAACACAATGACCACGAGGCCCTCCATGACGGCCAGCAACGCTGGCAGCGCGGTCAAGTCGCGGCAGCTGGTGAGAAGAATTTCCCTTCCCCTTTCCGATCCATCCCAGCAGAGAGATGTGGCGCGCGACGCAGAGGTCGAGAGAAGATGGATGAGCAAGCATGTATAAAGAACAAGCAGCAGGAGAGACTGACACACACACGACATGAATGTGGGGGGGAAATATAGACACATCTGCACGCCCAGCTGGCCTCGCTGTCTGCCAACCTGGCCGACACGGAGAACCTGCTGCGCATGACGAGCGTGCAGGCCGAGTGCATGCGAGGACTGGGCAGTTGGCACGGTGGACTGTAAGTTTCTGCGTGATCAATCTCTCAAGTCTTTCCCCCCCCCATTCATGTCGTGTGTGTGTCAGTCTCTCCTGTTGCTTGTTCTTTATACAT